GTTATCTATGCAATGTTTTTTCTTTTACCGTTTTACTGGAACAGATTTTGATATCTAATTAAAATTTTCACAGTAAGAATTGGGACTAGGGGGTCAGATTCAGGAAAAAAAAGAAATAATAAATCTCAATAAAGATACTGCGAAACCAATCCTTTATGATATCTATGTAGGATTCCATTGAAACATTGTACTTATCCATTTCTTCTCCAGAGTATTCCCCCACCACTATTAAATTTTTGGGGCTTTCATCCCATATCCAGTTTTCTGCTGTTTTATTCCAATCATCACCATATACTTTTTTTACAAATTCAAACGTGTTGCAAGGAACACGGACAGGAACTCCAAGCAATTCACCCCAACATAATTGAATTTTAGGTATCATAAACCTAAAAAAAGATAGCTTGCCAGGCAAGGTAATATATGCCCATTGCAGCTTTGATTATGAATAAAAATATTTAGCAGTACAGTAACAATCACCAGTATGAAATATTCAACCTTATTCATAAACTTCTTTTGAACTTTTAAGGGCAATACTATATAATATTATAAGTTTTGTCAAAATCTGGCAAGGATCATGCATTTAAGTCTTTACAAGCCAAAATGTGAAAGTGTTTTCATGAACATGTACAATAACTCATACCAAATACTTTTTGATTTTTTTGATTTTGTTCATCCTTGGGTGATTACAAACACTCACACAAAGTTTCGTCAAAAATCCAATATGAATTGTGCCTTCTGACTGACGGAGGGAGGGAGGGACATGGGAGTCGTCAATATACGCCTCCCATTTCATATGGGCTAATAAAAAAAGAGGATATGCAATGAGTTTGTTTGACATTATAAGCTCACTATTTTGTTCCTGATAATGCCAAGTAGCTTGACAGAAATTTTGTCTGGACTAGAGCATTAGCCTACTCTTTTATATAACTGGGACCTTCATTTATGTATTGTCTGCATTAAATTACTTCTTTTATTCCTCTTTTTTAATATTTTTTTGTCTGAATTGTAATCTAACAGGTTTTCTACCAAAGAACCATTCTCATGAGGCTAGTTTTAATCAATCAAATCAACTCATGTAGGAACTGTTTCTTGATAACAATACAAATTGTTAATCATTGTCTCCACTGACGAATCAGACATTTCATGCATTTGGATAACGTTGAGTTATTTGTGTAAACATGCTTGTCTAGTATGTATGGTATTGTGAAGTATAGATTTGTTAAGCGTATTGTGACATGTCTTGTCACAGTTTACAATCATTCGTATCTACGGCATTCATTGTCTTACAGTTATTGTCAGGCGTAGCAAGAATGGCCGACTTATTTACGATTGAGTGTATAATTTCACCAATATGTCCTGCAAGCACTAAATGACTCACCTGTATTTTGTACCATTTCCACCCACTGCTCCTGTCCAATTGTCATCTTTTCCTTCATAAAGACAAAACACATCTAATCGAATAGAATATTTCTTAAACGTCATCTCAAAACTGTCTTGCAACTAGTGAAAAAAAAAATCACATCAAACAAGATAGTTTGCCAGACAAGTTTATATACACCCATTGGCAGGTTTGATTTTAAACAAAAATATTTGGCAGTACAGTAACAGAATGAAATATTCAACCTTTAGTCAGACATTTCTTTATGTGATACCAAGTTTCGTCAAAATCAGTCGAGAATAGTGCCTTCTAATGTTTTACAAGCTTACAAGCGTTTCAAAGAACAAAGGCAATAACTCTTTACATATCTGTTCATCCTTGGGTGATTACAAACACTCACACCAGATTTTCTCAAATTTGTCAATTATTTAGTAGAATGTTTACCAGCTAAAATTGAATGCGTTGTCAAGAACAAGGGCAATAATAAATTTTTCTGATTTTCAATAGGGTTCATCCTTGAATGATTACAAACAATCTAACCAAATTTCATCAAAATCAGTCAAGAATTGTGCCTTCTACAGTGTTTAAAAGCATTTCAAGAACAAATACAATAACTCATACTGAATATTTTTCGATTCTTCTGATTTTCAATAGGGTTCATTGTGCCTCCTAGAGTGTTTTCGAGCAATTGTAGACGGACAGACGAACAGACATGGGCGATGCCAATATACCCCCTATTTCATGTGGGCGTATAAAAATGAATGCATTTGTAGTTCACAATATTTCAATAGTTCAAAATTTCAATATGAATACTTAGTTTCATCAAGATCAGATGAAAACAGAATTCTCTATTGTATTTACAAACCAAATTTGACATGCTTTTACATTTGATTGTCAAATCAAACTTGACCTCATAAATATATATCAGACAAAACTGACAGTTAATATTTGGTACTTAGTCCTATCAAACTGTAAAAATATACCTACCTTTCCCAACTCTCGAATCAAGTACAAGTCGTGTGATCCTAAAGATTTTTTCATTGTTGGTTTATAATGTTTAGCATATATTTCAATGTCCATATCACGAGTATTATGAATAAGATCACATTGTCGATACCATCCTATATAAAAATCAAATGTAACTTAAAATACGATACTTCTGATTCTCGAGCTCTTTATGCCTCATGATCTTTAACCTATACAGCTCTTAACACACAAAATTGGTGAAAATGGTAGGCCTAGGCTAAATTGAGACAAAAAGAAAGAAAGAAACAACTATATTTTACAGAGATAACAACTTAGGTTCAAAGTTAAGGATCCTTTCTACTAGCTAGTCCTTGTCCAAGCCTCTTGGCATTGATCTTCAAGGATTAGGCCTATCCGTCATCGGTCTTTCACACACCCACAGCCGCCATTCGCTCGGCGTAACCAAGCAAATGACGTCATGTATAGAACCAACGCTCTAACCGACTGTGCTCTAGAACCTCACAAAGATTCAACAATTAACTCTAAACAGTCATCTCAAGTTAAGGTTATACTCTGATTTTTTTTATTACAGACAAACTAAAAATAGGAATTTGATTCTGATACAGAGAAACGAAGACAGTGAAAATACTCCACTCACGTGACATGAATTCAATGAGTGACTGATTTACAAAAACCTTACAATCCAATTGATTGCTTCATATACAAACTTCTGTCAAAAGCTGTACAATCCAATCAAATTGTTGCATTGACAAACTTCCAATGCAAACTTACAAATGAAAGTGCCTTTTTAAGTCAAGGTATTAAACAGAGTTCGTATTAACTTGACATTGGGAAGATGCCTAAGCAACAGTGCTACAGGTCAGGGGTAGCCTAATATCAGTCCATGAAGTGACAATAGTCTAAAGTTATAAAGTATAAAATGAAATTTGTAATACATTGATATTGTGAAGATAATAATACTTATACCTAGCAGTGTTCCACCTTCCAGCCAAAATTTTATTCCTGCATCATCCATTGCTTGTTTTAAATCATGTAATAGTATGGATGCCTTGTAGTGAAAATTTCTGTAGTACACTTTGTAGTCAGGGTAAGAATCATAAAACAAATTAACCCTTCTGTTATCGCATTCTATGAAGGTCGATTCTGGAATTTCTTCGTCAACAAAGCGACCCACATTGGCTGGCATATAAAGGGTTAAATGATCATTATTCAAATGGACCTTAGCTAGCTCTAATCTGCAAAGATATAGAAATAGTCTGTCATAGAAAGTTGACGTATCCAACTTTTCATCTGATCTTTTTTTGTAATTTTTGATCTTCCAAATATGAATTATTGATTGCTCAATTCTAATTTTTTCAAATTTTATGTTTGGGATACAAAGTCATTAATCACTGTGGGGTACAATAACCTAATTTCATATTATAAAAAGATAAATAGATCAACTACCTATTATATCCATATGCAGATTCTCCAAAATTCAGTCTGGTATGTGGAAGCCAACTGGGAAAGGATGACACCAGTAGGCTTTCACTTTTTATAAAGCCCTTCCATTTCTCATGAAACATAATCAAATGAACTAAAAGCAGACTGGACTGGTGATACAAGATCACATGAGATAAGTCATTCTCCTTTGAATCCACTGGGAATACATTGAACCCATGATTTTTCAATTCATCCAAGACAGACTGAAATTGAAAAATAAAATAGGTTGACTGCTGTTTGCCAATAATTGAAAAGGACTATACATATAATATGGTATCAGTCCACATTCATCTTGCCAGCATCAAGGAATTACCCTTCACAAACTTCTATATGTTAAAAGCATATATTGTCGTCTAAATATAACTTTTTTAAATTTCTTTTTCGTTGTAATTTTAATTAGACTGATTTCGACAAATAAAATAATAAATTTAAATTAGATTTTCATTCTTTAAATAATAGAAATATCTGTTTAAGATGTAATAGACATGAGGGAAGAAATTAAAGGACTTGTTGTATGAAATATTTGATTTTTAATAAAATAGATCAATACTTCAGAAAATTATAATAATAAAAATAAAATATACAAAAAAGCAATTGATTTAATCATAAATAATATCATTTTTTATAAATTATATTGTAATAACTAATTGAGCTTAATGAAAGCTTAAAGAAAAATGCCAAGCAAATCTATAAATTGGCATTTTCTTTATCCCAAATTTAACCATGTTGACATTTGGGACTGCTGCCATCACTTTGAAATATGCGTTGAGTTGTATGTCCTAATGTGATCACTGTGGCAAGTAAGCTGCCATAAAGTGAGCACAGAGATCTTTATTACCAAAATGCCAACGCCATTGGTAAGGGGGTTTCTTAAAATGGGAAGTTATGGCATTTTTCTTGGCAGTGAAGAAATTTCAGAAGCTGCCTTGAATTGTTCTACATCAACAGATAAAACTAGTTTATAGTCTACTCTAATACATAATTATTGAACTTAATATAATCAATTAAATCCTGCGAATGTAACCATGTTGACATTTGGGACTGCTGCCATCACTTTGAAATATGCGTTGAGTTGTATGTCCTAATGTGATCACTATGGCAGGTAAGCTGCCATAAAGTGAGCACAGAGATCTTTATTACCAAAATGCCAACGCCATTGGCAAAGGTGCTTTCTTAAAATGGGAAGTTATGGCATATTTCTTGGCAGTGAAGAAATTTCAGAAGCTGCCTTGAATTGTTCTACATCAACAGAAAAAACTAGTTTATAGTCTACTCTAATACATAATTATTGAACTTAATATAATCAATTAAATCCTGCGAATGTAACGAGGATGGTAAATCATCCTCATCCTGTCCATTAAAATCATATTTAGCTCGTTTTTTACCTAGGTGCTGGTTTGATTAAAGATGTTGTATCTAAGTAATGTTTTTTTTTATGAAAATTTAATAAACTAGGAATACCAGGAAATTCTTGATCCAGATGGATCAATTTATTAGGCGACCATAACAGTTCTCATTATCTCTATTGCATAAACATCACATGGTTTTACAATTACATACATGTGAGATTACACTATGTCAAAATTATAAATTAGAATCCCTCTATAATGCAATAAATCAATAATAATGATAACTTTATTGTTTCAAGGCAGAAGCCCAAAAAACTCCTTCATCGGGGATGGGAAAAGCGAATGGATAGCCCGAAACACCCTTCAACTGCCGCCCGACGAGGAAGAATTTGGAGTTTGTGATATTGATACCCGTGAAAATCCCTACTTTACTTCTGGATCCTTTCATAATAACACCATTCTGAACGGAAAATTCGTCACTGTAATGAATAGAAAACTTGTTGGGGCAGATAACTCTTTATGTACTGATTGCGTTCATTTTACAGAATATTAACAAACATAAAACGAAATATTAAAAATATAAAGAACGAAAAATTGTTGAGTGTTGACTATATCTTACACTGCCGGGGTTGATTACCAAAGTAATGAAAGGTAATCAAAAACATATACTGTTCAAATAAAATGTTCAAATGCACAAAATAATTATGTTCACATTTTAACTGTCACTAGGAATTACTTCTAAAGGGATAAGATGCTGGATAGGTCTACGCATATGAATTGACAAAACTTGTACTAATGCTGCTCGAACCAAATGGTCATTTCCATGAAACAGTTCTATCACTTTGGCTAATTTCCAAAGACAACGGGCAGAATGGTCGTCCTTAATAATAACTATGTCGCCTACTCTTATATTTGAGCCATGCTGAGCATTAGGTTTCTGTTGGGATGAATGTTCACGTAAATTTAACAAATAATCATTTCTCCACATTTTAGCAAAATTGTCTAACAAACGAAAATGATATTTGACTCGTTTAGTTAAGCAATTATAAGTACTAGAAACCTCAAAATGTCCATCACTTGGAGATACAGATATACGCCATATATCATATCAGAGGGTGTTAACGGATATGAAATTCCATTGTCATCATCATACACATACGAAATAGGTCTATTGTTCAGTGTTGTTTCAATTTCTACTAATAATGTTCGTAATTCCTCAACATTCAATGAAGATCTTCCAATGGATTTCTTTAAACAGCGTTTTACACTTTTGACAAGTCTTTCCCAGAATCCTCCCCACCAGGGAGCCTTTTCGATGATAAATGTCCACTGTACTTGTTTATTGGCGAGAAAGCGTTGAATTTCTGGGGAACGGATTATTTTCTTGATTTCTGTAGCAGCTTTAATGAATGTTTTGGCGTTGTCCTAAAGAAGCTTAGATGGTAAACCTCTTCGACTAGAAAACCTCTAAATGCCTCCATAAACGATTTAACACTTACGTCTCGAACCAGTTCTAAATGAATTGCACGAGTGGATGCACATGTAAATAAACACACATATGATTTTAAAGTTACATTGTTAGAAGTTTGCACTAATAGCGGACCAGCAAAATCGATGCCAGTATTTGCAAATGGTGGTTCATCTCTAACTCTACATTCAGGTAAGTCCGGCATTAAAGGTGGTGTGTAGGATTTTCCTTCGAACCGTTTGCAAACTACACATCTGCGTATGAATTTCTTAACTGCGGAACGCCCCTTTAAAATCCAATGTGTGGTACGAACTGCATTCAGAGTATCTTGAATGCCATTGTGATGCACCTGATTGTGTCTTTCTGATACTAAAAATTCTATAAAACGTTGATTTGATGGTAGCAGTATTTGCGTTATAAGTATAATGTTGGCATTGTTGATACGACATCTGCTACGTATGACGTCATTTCCGTCCAAATATAATCCGAATTGTTTGGTGCAGATTGTCGTTTTGTTTCCATTATGTAGATTTTCAAACTCAGAGTTTAATGTTTTTCGTTGAATTGTCTTTATCCATTCAGTTTCAGCATTCTGAATATCTGATGCGCTGATAAGTTTATCAGTTGCAGCTGGATGGCGCAATAATGAGATGAACTTGATGACTAATGATGTAACTCGAAGAAGTTTCAGCTTGGAACTAAATCGATTAATGTCAATTATCAAATCAAGATTGACTGGTGAATTATGATGGTTAACTGTTGACAGCGAAATAGTTATAGGTTTAGGGTTTTTCTTAAGCTCTTCTTCTGCTTAACCATTTTCAAACGTTGTGGGCAAATCCGGCCAATGTTCAGCTGATTGTTTCAAAAATGGAGGGCCTTCCCACCACTTTGGATTATGTAGTAATTCCTGAGCTTTACAAGAACGTGATGGTATGTCGGTTGGGTTTTCAACGCCTGGACAAAATCTCCAGCTGTCCTTGTCAGTTAGTTGATGGATTTCTGTGATACGATGCTGGACGGTTTCTTATCCAACACAATGTTGTGAAAGAGTCAATCCATAAGACAGTAGGTAATTGCTGTATGTCAGTTGTTGTACGATGTGTGGATTGCTGAGTTGTGTGTACTA